GAACAGGGTCTTGGGGTTGCTGGAGCCGGAGTGGATGATGTGTGAGTAGTCGGTTGACTGAGCAGAGTTGAGGGCATGTCTGGACTTTTGGAGTCTGGTTCTACTGTAGAGTCATTCCAGTGTTAATAATAAAAAAAAAAAACTAAAAAAAAAAACACTATAAAAGAATATTTAAAAGCATTTCTAGATAAATAATAACATAGAAAGATTGTGTAAATGATATAAATGAACCATTTGTCAAGGAATAAGAGACTACCTTATATAAAAAGGTGATAATATAAAACACAAAGTGACATGATGAAACCAAAAAGGTTGCACAAAATAAATAAGGGATCTTGTGAAAGTAAAAGAAACATTACAAAAATTTTTTTAAAAAAGTGACTTGTAATGAAAATAGCTTTGACTGAAAAAAAAAAAAAGTGTCACAAAATAAAAACGGGACATTGTGAAAAGTTCACGTTTTTATAAAATTGTCTAATTTAGAACAAAAATAAGTCCAACTCTTTCAATGTGAGAATGAGACTGAATGATGAATATAAATGATGATAAAGGAGTAGGTTTGAAAGATTCCTTCAATTAAGTCACAAAATGATTTAATAAATATATCTATACATCCATCCATCTATTATCTGTACGCAGCTGTGACGGAGCGACGCCGTCACAGCTGAAGTTAGCGGGCCGGCGTGCTGACGTGGCGCACACACACACGCACACACACACACACACAGAGGACACACACACACACACACTCATTTACAAACGTTACCATAACCTGCACACACACCTCATCCTATTTCACTTCCTGCTGTTAGTATCGTGACCAAGGGTGCAGCGATGCTCTCTCTCTCTCGTCCATACACTCACACACACACACACACACTCACCAACACTCACCATCCGTTGCAGTGGTGGACAGCTGGCTGGATGCTTGGCGGGAAAACCCGGGCCATACCACCAGCCGCCTTAAATGGTATGGGCGCGCGCGGTTTGTCGGTCACATGACGCGCATCATTTTATTATTTTTCCTTTAAACATGATTCCTTGAATTGATGACGTCATTGTGGGAAACCCTACCCCTGTCCCCTGAATGGTGATGGTATGTTTCCCATAGCGGGGCTGAAACTGTTTATCTGGAATAAGAAAACAATGTTTACGTCATTGTTGTATGTTTTACATGTAAAGGCTCCGCCCAGTGGGCGGGGCTTGGCCTTTAAACCCGAGGGCTCTGGGCCTGATTGGATGTGGGAGTAGCTGGAGTTTGGAGTCGGAGTTGGAGGCAGTGACAGTGTTGGTCTGAATGTTTTTGAAGCTGGAGTTAAAGGAGAGCTGGTGTGTGTATAGTCCTGTAGATCTGTATGTAGAGTTTTTCTTTTCTTTTTCTTTGCTTATTTTTTACAATTGGGTTTTTGCACTTTTTTTTTTTTTGCACTTTGTAAATATTCTATCTCACTGCCGCACTTTGGAGAGGCCTGAAAATAAATTTAAAACCACAGCTGACGACTACGCCATCGTTTTCTCCCAGTTTGGGAAAGTTGTTGGGTGAACCCCGCGACAGCAGCTTAATCCTCACCAGGGTCATGGGGGCTGGAGTCTATCCCAGCTGACTCAGGGCCAAGACAGGTTCACCTGGACAGGTAACCAGTCTATCACTGGGCTACACTTAGAGACAGACAACCAAGCACACTCACATCACCAATTAACCTCAACACGTTTTTGGACTTGTGGGAGGAAGACTGAGAACCCGGAGAGAACCCACGCTGCACAGGGAGAACATGAAGTTCCTGGGTGTCCTCACCAGGACACGAACCGGCGACCTTCTAGCTGATAGATAGATAGATAGATAGATAGATAGATAGATAGATAGATAGATAGATAGATAGATTATCCTCTTTTAAAATATGTTACTTTTAAAATCTTGCTTGTAAATGAATGTAGTTATAATATGTATGATGATATAAATGTTCTGTAGTGCAGAGCAGCAAGAGAACTGGATTAATTTTGAGGTGAATAATGTTAAAACATCTGTAAGTGGTGCTGAACTCTAACTACACTGTTTGCTGTCTGGTTGAATACAATTATTTTAGGTTGCCATAATTAGCATTAAAAGTAGTGTATACATATTAAAATAATGCATTATAACAGAGTGTAATGTAGCTGTGGGCAGATGTAAATGTTTATTAATGTGTTTGGTTAATCAGTCAGATCTCCTCCTGTGGACACTCATAAGACAAAACTACTGTATAAATGAATGACTAGATGGTAAAACACAACTTTAAGAAGATCAAATCTGCCTTCACAAGTCATTGCCAATAAATACTATTCATTCATTAACACTCCCTTGTAGCTGTACAACCACATTACAACCTAATCCATGTGACCAGTGAGCTTTCTTTGTGCAATCTCTTGTTTTGTATTGTTTGTATTTTCTCTTGTGCAATTTGGAAACGATGTGGAGAAACTCCTGCTTACTTTGTTATATTCCAAATACACGGTGGACCTGCAGTAATAAGCAGCGTCACATTCAGAGCACAGGGACTCACAGCTCCATCCATAAGCATGCAGATGATGGATGCACTATTTAATCACTCCCACTAGATGTCAGCTTAAGCATTTATGAGAGCACCCAACCTCACAGTTATACCATACCATATGAAGGAGAACACATTAATCACACACAGGAACAGGAAATGCAGCAGCAAAGTGGAGTGAGATCACTGCAGCACTTTCATGAACAACAGCAAATAATTGTGATTTTATTGTTTCAATATCTTTGTGAAGCAGTATTCCTACGAGGAATCAGTTCTCCATCAGACTTAAACAGGTTTGCAGTCATAATATAGTTCTTTGAGTGTGTCTTGTTATACCTTTATTGTCCTGTTCATCACTGACCTACATGGTTAAACAAGATCAGGTTAAATGATGAGGTTTGTATTTACCTGCAGCATGTTAGCATAAAAGACAACAACATAATGATAAATAAATAATAACATAATAAATAAATAATAACGAAACAGTTTAATTTCCAGTTGTCTTGTCAGTGAAACATGGACCTAAAAGCTTGGGGTCGGCCAGTTTGGGATGCTTTGCAGTTAAATAAAAAAACATCACAACATCTGTCAGACTACATTTTGGAGAAAAACAACAAACCCATATGAGAGGTGATTAGTGCTACAGCCACGAGAAAATCTGGAAATGAAATTGGATACAAATTTTAAAAATTCATATTTTCTGTCAGCCATTGTTCAGAAGTCAGCACAATACAGAGCATCTGAAGTTCTGCGTTTTTGACAGCTGACTTTCACTGACAGTATATAAAACACTGATTACAACTGACTGTACCTTTAAGAATTCAGATCATACGATACTTTCCAGAGTCAAACCACTCTTTATGAAAATTTTTAGCTCTGGTCAATAATTATCTAGTTGAGACATATGCTTATTTGCTTTCTGCCTTTGTAAAAAAATTAAATAAAAAGATTGCAATCTCTGGGCCGTAGTTTCCACTCCATCCTTGATCTTTATGCACATCTTCAATTTGAATTTTCTTTGAATAATTTTCTGAAACATTTTTCCCAAACAAGACCTATAGTTGTATCTTGTTGGGATTGCTGTTTTGTTCATTTGTTGTTGTTGTTGTTGTTGACCTGTGAAATATTTTTTTCTTTTCTTTTGAGAGCTCAAAGCCTTCCTTCCTTCTGGTCCTTTCTTCCTCTCACACTACCACCCCAACTACAACACAAATGTTTTCCGGTTACAAACTATGACGTGTGTGTGGTATATTTATGCAGAGAGGTTGCTGTAGAAAAAATAGTACTGAACAAAAATGAGGTTTTGGTTTTAGATTGTGACGGCGAGAGTCAAGTAAAATTTTATTTGATTGCAGCTCAAATGTGTTTATCAGAACTGACAATGTCGTGCATCTATTTATCAAGTTGTGAGAGCTCCTGGGTTTAGAGAGGGGGTGCAGCTACATTTCTCCATATACACTAATATGTCTTGTTATTTAAGAGTCTCCTCCCACACGCAGACGTTAAGCTCCGCCCCCTCGTCTGTGTGGCACGGATCGGCCCTCATACTTGTGTCAGTGGTCGGGGTTAACTCCACCTCCCTGCTGCTCACGGCACACCAACAAATGTTCCTTTCTCCAATCCATCTAAAAAATAAAGTGTTTGACCAGCGCAGGGCTGAGCCGCTCTCCGACAAGCGGATGCGCTCTGAGAGGACGAGCAGCTGCAGCGGCTCCATGGAGCAGGGAGGCGGCCGGACGGCAGGACGCAGAACCAAGGCAGCCGCACTGGGTCGCTTAGAGCCGCACACGAGCCTCGGCTGCGAACTGTGCTTCCAGTAGACACACCAGGAAACTGTTGCGGGATGAAATCGATTTTTCACTTTCCCCTCGAAGAGCAAACGATGTGAATGAGCAGTAAAATGCCGGAGCAGAGGGCGAACAGGAGGGGATTTGTTGAAGCATCACGGAGCAAGATGTCCTCGGGTCCTGATTATGGAAGCAGGTTGCTTCGGTTATCGTGCGTATTTCAGGCTCCATTATGCACCAGCTGCTGCAGCTACTGAACGCTGTTCGTCTTTCGCCTGCTCAGTGGATGCTGTAGGACTATGACTGGTGTGTAGCTGCTCACAGGATCCAGTCACTCCCTGCCGGCCGTCGCCTCCCTGCGGCAGCACCGCGGACAGCGACCATGACTCGGCTGCGCAGGAAGGCGCTCGTCGCACTTTTCCTCTTCACGCTCTTCATCTTCGGGACCATGATGGGACTCAGGACGCTCAAACCCAGCGACGGCTTCTCGGACCTGGCTCCCGGAATGGACTTCATCGGGGAGAAATCCGAGAGGAGGAGGCTGGATGTGAAAGACGTGGTGGTGTCGCCGGGCCAGTTCCACATGGGCAGCAGCGACACGAAGGTGGTCTTCACCAAATCAGACCGAGACTACAGCATCTTCTACGACGTGCACATCTTCTATTACCTGTGGTACGGCTCTCCCAGCATGGACAACAAGTACATCCACTGGGATCATGTCCTGGTGCCGCACTGGGACCCAAAGATCGCCGCCAGTCATGCCCAAGGAAGGCACACTCCTCCAGACGACATTGCCTCCAGTTTCTACCCGGAGCTGGGACCCTACAGCTCCAGGGACCCCAAGGTGCTGGAGTCACACATGGCCCAGATAGAGGCGGCTGCAGCGGGTAACAGTTGTTGCTTGGCTCTACATGTGTGTGGTGTAGTGTTGACATCCATCTATGGGCCAAACACCCCCAAAGATGAAGACTAGTGTTTTTAATTTATAGATATAATGTCATCATTAATTAATTTTGATTATAAAAGCAAAACTATTGACAGATTACAAATGCATTGTCTATCTGATCATTATATTTGCGTGGGGACTGGCATTAAAAAGGAGAATATTACAATATTAATATCATTACCATCACAAATCAAACTCCTCAGTACAGGCTGAAACGGTTTTCCTCTACGTAAATAAACTCAAAATGAAGTTGGTTGTTGTTCACAGGGATTACAGTCAGCCTCTCCCACCCACAGCGATGACATGGATTCAATCCCAACACACACACTTACTGTCTTAAGCACTTATGTGCAGGTTCACATGCTGCCAGATAGCAGACATCAGACAGAAACACTAGCACAGTGTTGGCTTCACTTACACTGTGTTCCCAGTGCTGTCAGAGGTTCGTATGACCCAGTGTTCAGTCTGCTCTGTGGCACCAGTTCAGTAAATGCTGGATCACATCCCTGCACCGAGTACAAAGAACCTCAGACCCACAGATTCACTGTGTGTTTATTTGTTTTTGGTGGATAAATAAATTGTATACAAACCTAACAACAATATCAACGCCAAAAAAATCTGACATCAAGTAGCATTTTAGCAAATAATAATATTTTCAACGGGAAATTTTCGCCCCTTTAGGGCCATTCATGGCGACCACTTTTGCAGACTCAAATTCAAAACAACAAACTCACACTTTCATTTATAGCACAGTTGCATTTGTATACAAAGACTTTTAAAGAGAGACTCAAAAGTAAAGAATGCTGAACTGAAGCTATGGGAGATTGTTCTGTCAGACACATGTCCCGCCCCTCCCGTCAGAAAGCCAATCATCTGCTTTGTAATATCCAAACTGGGAAACATCCTGCCAATTGTGCTGCTGCAAAGAGGCAAGTTTATTGTCATCAAAAGGTGCATATAAAAAGTAGAACCCATTGGGGAAAATGCTTTAAAGTCATTTTTAAAATATTTTTTTATCAGATTTGACTGGTTATTCTACACATGCAGTTTTTATGTCTTGGTAACCTTTGAAATTGCAATTATGACTCTCTCCATTCATTCAGACAGGACCTGGTCTTATTAGCCCAAAATAACTGTCCAGGAACATTTTCAAAAAGAGAAAATAATCTGCGTAACTACAAGACATGACCTGTAATGCAGAATGAAATACATACGCTGCACAAAACAAGCATTCCTTACTTTTCTGGCACATGTGCAGTCCATGTGCTCGCTCAGAGGGGGGCTGTGCAGACCCTTGCAGACACATTTACATCACACAGACATGCTGAAATGGTGAATTGGTCTTAACAGGGTAATCTGGACATGGCTGGCAGGAATGGAAGTGCAAGCTATAAGAGATACAAGTGCTGAAAGTCTAGATTCAACTCTATTGTCCAAACAACTGTTAGAAGACCCTTTGTGTCAAAAATCTGTTCTTCCTGATCAGACTGCATATTTGACAAACATCAATATCTGATACAGTTTGATCAGTTATTCAAACAAAGTCCTTAAAATCTTAAACAGTACGGCACATTGTATGTTTATGACCAACATGCTTGTAGATTACTGGACTGAATGTTTTGGTCCTTCAGCTCCTTGATGTGTCATCTGTCCGTCTCTTTAAAACTGCATTAATCCTCCTTAATTAATGATTTGGAAATGAACCTAAGCAGACCTCAGAGCTCAGCAGAGCCTTGTGCTTGCACGAGGCACCGAGTGTAACATTAACCTCTGATACCGCTCCACATGCCAGCAGTCCTGAGGGCTGCTGTTGCAGTTGCTGGAAATGTATCACACAACTAGACGCCTGGCTGTTCACAAATACTGTAAATGTGGCTGTTAACCCTTGGTCACGCTTACCTTCTATGGAGCTGCACAACTGCTTCCTACGATGGTCCTGAATGATCGCTTTAGATATGAATCCTGATCTGCAGAATCAGTGATGTCGATGTAAATACTGGAACATAGGAAAGCAAATAAAGCAAAAGACATCAGAAACCTATGAACAAGAGTTTTTAAACACAAATAGAATCATAATGGAGGGAAATCTTCACTTTCAATGTAGATGATGTAATTACCTCTGAATAAAATAACATTAGTGATTCTATGAAAATGCAATTTTCAGATGATGCTCCATTTTTAATTTTTAATTTCTAATATTTGTGATACTAATGGTGGCTGCTGATGACAGGTGATGGTTTATTTTGCTCTATGTTGAAGCGCTTTATTTACATGATAGTTAGACTTGCAGCCTGCCTGTGCTCAGCTTCATCTTCCTCCTCTGGTCGCTGTGCTGCTGTAGGGGTGCTGGTGTTGTCCTGGTACCCTCCCGGGGTGGCAGATGACCACGGGGAGCCCACCGAGGACCTGGTTCCTGCTGTCATGGACGCCGCCCACAGGCACAGCATCAAGGTAACTGGTGAGACAACCGGTATGTTTTTCCCTTTCTGATGATTTACTGAATGAATGAATGCCTGCTGTCTTGCCAGTCATAGCTGATTGTTATAGTCGAGATTAATATTGATCCTAAGCTTGTGTAATCAGCTCTCAGTTCACACTGATGTTCTTTTTGTGACTCTCTGGACTTAATCCATGTGAAAAAGTGAAAAGAGGAGCATCAGTGTAAGGGGTGATTATGGAGCCCAGTGGTGATGAAAGTGTTTGATTTCTTTACTGAAATTACAGTAATAATAACACACTGTAAACATATTATGTAACAAGTAAAAGTACAGCTGTGAAAAAAATCAGAGAAAAAGTATAGAAGTAGAGTAAAATTACAACAATGCAGGAGACATGGCCGGTGTGACTGTTATACATCTGACTGTTAGTCGTGCATTAACTGAATTTTACTGTTCTAACTAATCTGCTGGTTATTTTCCTAATTTATCAAATGTTTGGTTTATAATAAATCAGAAAATAGACAGTCCAAAATAAAGAACCACAATTATAACTACCAATTGGGGTTAAATTGGTAGTTATACCAAGTCATGGCAAACATGAACTCACTGAAGAGTTCCATCTGTTAGAACTGTAAAGAAAAAATTCATGAGGCTAGGGTTCCCCAGGATCCCAATACAGTGTTTGTTTTGTTTTGTTTTGTTTTTAAAAACACTAACTGAAACCAAAACAGAAAACAATTATATGAATGTTGGCAAAGTCATAAAAATCAAATCCACTTGTGATACAGTTCAGGGGTGTGTAGCTGGTAGGATGAGGGTTAAAACGATAATCAGAAAAGAACCAAATTTTCATGTTTGAAAAGCTTTTACCTGCAAAATACTGAGTACTTCTGACTGTTTGTTTGCACATCTTAACTTGTGGGCTGCAAGGTGGCTCGGTGGTTAGCATCGTTGCCTCGCAGCAAGAAGGTCGCCGGTTCGTGTAACGGTGAGGACACCCGGGATCTTTACATGTTCTCCCCGTGCAGCGTGGGTTCTCTCCGGGTTCTCCAGCTTCCTCCCACAAGGTCCAAAAACATGCTAAAGTTAACTGGTGATTCTAAATTGTCTGTAGGTGTGAATGTGAGTGTGCTTGGTTGTCTGTCTCTAAGTGTAGCCCTGTGATAGACTGGTTACCTGTCCAGGTGAACCTGCCTTCACCCTGAGTCAGCTGGGATAGGCTCCAGCTCCCCGTGACCTTCGTGAGGATTAAGTGGTGTATAGATAATGGATGGATGGATCTTAACTTGCCATTTCATTAGATTTGTCCAACAAATGTATTAGATTGAAGAGTCCAATATTTCTATATTTGTACGACACTTGCGTAAACGTCTTATACTCCACCACTGGGTATGAGAGTTCAGTCAGACCGAACTGTGTCAAAACAACATAGATGTGACATTTATTTTTTCAATTGGGAGTTTCTTCTTGACAGCGTCACTTCATGTCACTGTCAAATATGAGTTCCACTCTGGAAAACCGACACAAAGAATGTGATGTGAGCAGCTCTGAGCATGAAAGCCTGCCACGGGAACATAAAATTAGAAAGTTAAACCACACCAAAATCCACTTACTATTAAGATTTTGTAACGAACCTACTTTATTCATTGGTCATAGACATTACAACAGATATTATTTGAGATTTTTAAAGAAACCATCTGTGTCATTCTGCGAGATATAAATAAAGAACACATAGAGCTGGACAGTGATAGCATAGGAAGAACAAAAATGGTGGCATAATGAGCAGTTTTATTGTGTTTAGTGGTGTAAAAGTGCATCAATTTACTGTATGTAAAGTGTTTTGAATTGCCTCTGTGTGTCAGAAGTGCTTTAAGTCTTACCTGGTATACTGAAGAGGTGAATTCACTCACTCCTGTAGCTGGTAAGCTAACCACTAAAATGTTAGTCTAATGGAAACAAGATAACAACAGTCCGTCAATAAAAGTCTGGTGAGCTGCTTTGGTCCTTCAACAGTATGATAACTGTCTACTGACTGCTGGTTAGACTATGTTTATATGGCAAGCTGTTTTGGCATTTAATAACTGAGTTTATCCAGAGTTAACATGTCCCACATCAACAAGGTCATTTGATTTGTTGCACTTTTACTGAAAAGTGACTTAATCAGAGATTTTATTCCAGATGTGTATAGCATCATTCTGACCAGTCATAACCACAGTGGAGATATTTCTAGTTCAGACCAGACTGGTTCAAAATAATAGTGGCAGATCTAAAACATCATTTTGTCTGAGTTGTTGGGATGCTGCTGCTCATGTGAGGCTTCTCATTGGATGTTGGTAGCAAAGCATTTGAACAGCGTTAGCAGCTCTAACGGCAGCTGCTGTGGTGGATCAGATAGCTAGAAAATGTTGTGAAATACAAAAAAATGTTAGGATGCTGTGGAGAATGAGAGCTCTGTTCATTAGAAAGCTGTGGTTAAAAAACAAACTGGTGCTTACCAGAACTTTGGCCTCAGGCTGCATTGACTGGGCAGCAAACATCTGCCAAATATGTTTACAGCAACAACTGCCTCCACCTACCACTCACCATAGCTCCTAATTTAAAACAGTTGTAGTCACATTCTGACTGGCCAGAATACCAGCACGACAATACGACAGCACATTTGAACCAGTTCAAGCTTAATGTAAGACTCTCAAAGGGACAATGCAGATATCTTGAGTTGAGGGGAATTAAAGATATCTTATACTATATGGTGACACATCAGAATGAAACTGTAGATACATGAACCTGGAAGTCATAATTCCTTTGCAAATAGCTTCAATGTAAATCTGTAATGAGAAACAATGAACAGTAAAAATGATGCCGTTTGCTCTGAATGAACGACAATCTGGAGAACTGTAGTGTTCTGTTTGACAAGGCAGAATTCAGTCCTGGATATCTGCAACACATATCCAGCCTCGCTATCAAATATTTGAACAGCTTGCCATGCATTCACCTCATGTGGGAAGGAAGGCAGTTATGGGAAAGATTCCCCTGTTTATTACTTGTCACATCGTTTGACAGCTGAAGGTAGCGGCTGTCAGTGTCCTGGTGCTGCTGTTCCTCATTACTGGTGATCTAGCTGTCTTAATCAATAAATGCTAATAAATCACAACAAAACGTTAGCAAATCATTTGCTAAAGACGAGTAATGGTTACTGTACAGGAGTGTCATTTGTCAGTCAGTGCAGTAACACTGAGCTGGTTGGATGTGTGGAGGAAACACTGCACTGGTTCAATACAGCACATTATATCCCAGCATTTAACTACCGCTAACAACAGACATTTATATATCTGATCTAAGTCAGATTTATAAATGCTTCCAGTTGTACCTGTGATCTCCATTCCCTCAAAGGTCAGCATGAATAGTGAGTCTGCTGTTCGTCAACAGACTTAAGGCATCAAAATTCAATAAATCTGAACGGAAAGTAAAAGATTTTCTTCAACAGCAGAGGAAATTTCACCAACATTAATTGATTTTACTTTCTATGTTTTAAATGTTGGTTTGACAAGTCCTTAACGTTATGTTTCCCTGCTGGGAACGAGTGCGCCATGCCCTTTATTCAGAATACATGATATCTTGCAGCTGCATTGCATTCTGGTCCGCTGAGCCCACTGACAGAGGAGAAATTGGTACCTTCACACTGGGTCCCGGTGGCAGCTTCGATTTTAACGCCCTGACCGCAAAACCTGACATTTACAGTAACATGAATGTTTCAGAGGATGAAAATGTCCTGTTATCAAAGGCTTTTCCCACTGAGCCAATAGCTGCTCAAGACTTCAAGTGCTTGAGAGCCAATTTTCCTTTTCAGCGCACAACTCCATCTAACAAAGTCATATCCACTTTAGCGCTGAAGGGTTGCAGATACCTTAAAGCCATAAGATGTGGAAGGTGCTTGAGACAGCAGCAGCAGCAGCAAAACAAGCCGAGGCCAGACTCCAGATTCAGCATTAACAGCACAGAAGAGCTTTCCCTCGGTCTACTTTCATGCTCCTTATATGGAAGTCTTAGACTGAGAACTGGGTCTCTCTGTGTGTCTCAGTCAGACTTACACAACAGTGTGTATCTCACAGCTGACCTGGGGGCTAATGCTCCAGTGTTTCAGTGTACCAGAGCTGCCGCTGACAAAATACAAGCTGAAGTCTGTGTGTGTGTTTCCTCTCTAAATGTCATATGTGCGTACCTTCGGACGCTGCATGTCATGTGATACAGTGATTCTGATGCTATTCTTCTGTGACCTTATGGAAGTGACAGGGTCAGGTCACTGGTGTCACAGAAATCATGTTGAGTGAACCACATATTAGAGACAGGACAACACGAGCTGATCTATAATCCCCTGCAGCACTCTAACCTCATTAATTAAGTATAGATTAACCGCATTGGCCCAAATGAAATGCTGGTGTTGATGCAGGCTACAAACAAGAAGAGCAAAGTTAAAGCTGCACTAATAAATATTTGATTTCAACAATGGATCAACTGACTGTGTGATATATTTCAGTGATGAAACTACAAAGAATGATTACACAACCCAGCATTTCCTCTACGCTCTGCAGAGGTTTTAGTGTCTTTTAGCTCACTGGTTTCGTTTTTATAACCTGCAGCTTCACAGGTTTGGTTCAGGCGCTCATCAGCTTTGTAGCCAAAAACAACAAGCAGCTGTTTTCAGCAAACAGCCCTCATACACCAACCTGCACAGCACCAAACCAAAGACAAGACAAAGTTAGATGGCACAAAGAGTAAATGAAATGTAGGTCCAAGTGTTTTACAGTTCAAGAGCAAAAAACAACTCAATGAACATTCAAATGTTTTTCTCTGCTGCAGACCAAAGACGCAGCAAAAAGGAAAGTGATGGAAAGTATTGATCTTAACATGGTGCTCGATGTCCTCTCCAAGGATAAACACACAATGGTTAGCTAATATGTTAGCTTTACTAGTTTTATCAAATATGCATCTGGACACAAAACTAAATGAAATAATTTCTGAGTTCAAATTTAAAATGAAAAAGGAATGTGCATCACCATTTATTCTCCCAGTCTGTTTCCTTTGCTTTTATAATATACCAGCGGTTCCATTTCCACCAGGTATAAAAGCTTTTTAGGAATGTTTGAAATATTTTGTAAAATTAGACAAAACAGGTGAATGGAAACACACTTAATGTTACATTACAGCCATAGACTGTATATAACAGATAGACGTAGCCTCTACACCTGAACAGTGAAGCCAATGCAGAGGTGCCTTAAACCTGCCTTCTGCCTAACAGCCCTACGGGGGCGCTGTGCTGTATTCACAAGGTCTTGGAACAAACAGGTGAGACCATGAACTGATTAGGAAAATGTTTATTGATGTAATAAATCAACTAAGAAGCTATTTTCTCATAGACTTCTATACGATCACATTTACAACCAGAGGACGGCGACAGTCAAATGCCAAACTTAAGGCTTTACAGCCCACTGGGAGTACCATGTAACTAGCAGTGCGTCACTCCGACTGACAGTCATACAATGGTTGTTTTTTTAAAGTGTGTAGCAGGCTGAACAAGGCATTCTGGACATCCCTTTCCCAGCAACACTATCCACTTCCTCCTGGGGGAACTCAAAAGGGATCCCGGACCAGAGGAGTTATGCAATCCCCCCAGTGAGTGAGTCGCCTCCCAGTTAAACATGCCCAGTAAAACTCTTAAGAAAGGCATCCTAATCAGATGTCCGATCACCACAAAGGAGCACTTCTACTTTGAGCTCCTTCCAGATTACAGAGCCCCCCACCTATCTCGAGGCTGAGTCCAGCCACCTACGAGGAAAACTCATACTGACCACTTGTGTCTGCAATCTCATTCTTTCGGTCACTACCCAGAGCTGATGTCGATAGCTGACTGGTGGAACATAGATCAACTGGCAAATCAAGAGCTTTGTCTTGCACCTCGGTTCCCTCTTCACCCTGATGGTCTGGACCAACACCTGCATTCCTGCTGATGCTAAATCAGTCTGTCTGTCCATCTCAAGCTCCATTTTCAAAATGCAATGTAAAAATATGTTGTTTCTTCGACAGTTCTGCCTTTCTCCACCTGTGAGCAGTGCATATATGCCCAGAAACACACGGGTACAGCCAGAATTATCCTGTGTTTTTTCCTCCTGGGGTTCTATGGAATAAAGCACAAAGACTCCATAGAACATAAACACAGCGACATTTCTTATTGTTTTTGGTCATTCTGGGTACACTTCATGCTTTCTAAGCCCTCAAGAAGCAAAGCTGCCTTGAGAAAAGAGGTGTAAGATGTGATTTCTTCTTTAATAAATAGCATTTTGCATCTGTACTTTTGAATTTTTCATCTCAGTTTACATAATTAGCTGAATTAATGTAGCATACGGCAACATGATGATATAACATTGCTTCAGGTCATCATCATCTGAAGAGAAGCCAAACATTGGTGAGAGCTGTTCAGGAGGCTTGTTTGTTGCAGCGGCGTCGTCTATACACCTGAGGCTTGGAATGTAAATATGAGAGTCTGTCAGCATCACGCTACATGAGGGGATCTGAGCAAACAAAGCACTTTTCATCCCGGTTTATTCAACCAAACAGGAACAGATTGAACAGCGTCTTACCTCGCTGGCCTTTCATGATTTCCAACCAGTCGAGACTGCTGACAAGCCTGAGCTCGGGCGCCAAACAGCACTGCGTTGCCATGGAAACTGTTTATGAAGACCTTGCAGCCTCTTTTGAAAGATGGAGTGGGCGTTGAGCGTTCACTGTTCGTGGCTCGACAGCTCTGTCAATGCTTTACTGTTTGCCACTGAGCTGCAGTCGACCTTTTTTCCCTTTCGCGACTGAAGCAAACAAGCGCACCATAGTTATTTCAGGATGACAGAGATCCATCACTCAGCTTTCAGCTCCTGCCAAAGAACACAACACACCGTTCTCTGTGAAATGAGGTTGATTTTCATGTTTTCATTTTGTTTCTCCAAACTCAAAGTGACAACAGATATTTTTAAAGGTTTAATTATTACTCAGGAGCACCTAGAAAAAGGGATTTCTGAGACACTCGGGTCAGTGGGGTACCTGTCACTGTGTCACCTGAGTGTGCTGACAGACAGGATGACAGTCCAGGACATGCCTGTGGGGATTGTAAGCATCTGCTTCACGTTTTCTCCTCCTCCTCCTTTGCAGCTCCATTCTTCTGAAATTACTAGCATCCTTCAGGCTAAACTTAGGTTCTATCTCCTATTCTGTCTTTTTCTATCTTTATACCGGTGGAAAAGGATGCAGTTTGCCTTCCCAGTTTTTCCTCTGCTGGTAGATTATATTTAGATCATATGTCAGACAAACATACAAGTGACCTCCAATAATCTAAGGATGCTCAATCTGAATCATTAAGTAGCAAAAATACTGCACTTGCAAAATGTTGTGATTTTTTGCTAACAGGACTCTCTGGAGTTTTTGGACCACCAGTGGTCAGAGCTCTTTCATAAACTGTATATAAAAGATGGATATCGCCTCCTGGTCTGAAAAGTGAAGCCAACACAGAAGTGCCTTAAACCTGCATTCTTTTTAACTGCAGGTTTACACCTCTGGTTGCAAAATGAAATCAGGGACGTCTATGAGAAAATGATTCTACTTTGCAGTTGATCTGTTACCTTAGTAAACATTTTTATAATGAGTTTATGGCCTCAATTACGAGTTTCAAAACTTTGTGAATACAGCATAGTATTAATTTAGCAAATTATGGTCATATTTAGAGGAAAATATTCAGTGAAGCAGGGCGACCTTGTAGCTGACAAGCTGCTACCATATGAGTGTGTGTCTTATTCTACAGCTCTCAGGTAGATCAACACCTCTGGTCTCTAAAGACCAAAATGATGACAGTCAAACTTCAGATCTGTAGTCCACAAACCAATGCGTGACATCACAGTCACTGATCCTTTATATTAAGTCTGTGGTCTGTGTTTTTAATAGATTTACCTTAAAGACACGTGCATCAACAGGAACAACCACATGTACGTTATGGTAGTTTACAAAAATAATCATAAAAAAAATAACCTGAATTCAGTTCGTCCCAAGCAGACGGCACAAACATAATAATTTAAACTGGTGTGAGCTGGAGCAGATTGATCAGATAGGTGGAGGATGTTTCACAGAGCTCCTAGAAAGATTTACACCCAACACCTTCTGACCCCTCACAGATGAAGCGAATAACATTGATTGTCTAAAACTGGTCATGTCAGGCTCTGTGATGTATAGTGAGCATTTAGTTCTCATGGTCAGTGTGTGGTGTAAAGATCTGAGTGACTTTGACATGAGCCACATCAGGATGGCCAGTCAGCACGTCTAAAACAACGATGCTCAGGAGATTAACAGCAGTGAGCGTCTACAAACACTGGTCTAAGGGAGGGCAAACTATCAATTCTGGGGATGTGCTGAAACTCACAGCTTACAGGATTTAAGAGATGTTCAAGTAAGGTCTTGGTGCCTGATACCACAGGACACCTGGAGCTGTTTTAGCAGCAAAGAAGCACCAACAGAATATTAGGCAGAGGTGGTCATAACGTTTTCTTCATTTCAAAAACATCTTATAGACATTTTGGGGGCCCTGCCTTCGCCCAAAGTCAGCTGGGATAGACTCCAGCTCCCCCGCGACCCGAGTGAGGATCAAGCGGTGTATAGATGATGGATGGACGGCATTTTCAGGGGTCCATTTGGTTTCAAGGAACCAAGAACTGACTCTGAACCTAACTTGGTCTGGGTCCAGTTTGTACCCAGTGTAATCAGGTCGAGTAGGTTTCGTTTTACTGCTGTTACATCCTGTTTGGGTGGATTTCCACTGGTTTGTTCTGGATTGAATCAAACACTGTGGACCTCCGATACACAAATGTGATTTTTACATTGGCTCTGACCTGGTTTCGAATACAACTTAACTAGCTGTGTTTCCTGTCAGAGCTGCTCCTGACGGTTGGCTCATTGTGCACAGAGGAGAACGCTTGTCATTGCAACGTCATGAATGTTTCCTCTGACTGACACTCACCCTGCTTGAACTCAGTGTCGTGCTGTCATGAAGTTGAGCAGTTTAATATTTGAGCATTCACACAGAAACAAGCATCCACTGCAGAACAAGTCCTTTTCAGAGGGAGCAGGATATGACCATTCAATTCACGCTGTGGTTTAGCGATTCATGATGGAGACAGTACGGCCAGATAATTAGCAAGGTCCGTGGACTACTAACTAAATATTGCATTCAAAGTGGCTGTCCATCAAAAATAAATAACACACAGGAACAATGAGCAAGAATCACTGCATAACCTTTTATTTTCCAGGCTTGTGTGTATTCAGTAAGTGCTTCTTTTGTTAACATCCTTATTCACATGTGTTTCTGCACAGGTGGCCTTTCACATACAGCCATACAAGGGGCGGACGGACCAGAGCATGCATGACAACATCAAATATATTATTGACAAGTAAGCTGTTTTACCGTGTGTATTTACTTACCTCCGTACTGGATTTGTGTCCTTGCGCTGATCGGATGGGTCGAGCTCCGCTGCCTGTATCAGTGGCTGCTGACGTTAGAAGTCTGCAGATCTGGTGAAACATGAAGCCTGATAAGGGAAAATGAAGAACAGGTAGTTAAATATAGATGTCTCCCCTGTGATTGTGCTGTAATGGATCAGAAGGTAGCTTTTGCTCTGACCTCAAGCAGTCTGAATACGTGTCAAAGGAGCTCGGTCTTTCACGTTGTAATGTGATCATCTTTCCCCAGGACTCAATGATTATATAAAATATGTTAACTTTTACAGTGAGATGTCGGGTTTTGAGGCTAATCAGACAATGTTTCATACAAGATATTGAGTAGTGGTCTGATTAAAAAAAAAGAAGAAGAATCCAGTGACCTCACACTGTGACCAGGAAGAACAATAAAGAGTCTGAATGATGTTTATAATGATACAAGACCGGAAGAAAATCAAAGCACTGGCTTTGTTGAGTGCCTCGAGTTGAATCAGATTTCTGGGCTTTATATTGCTGCCAATATTCCCAGGAACCCACTGTGCCGACCATCTGTATAAAATGAAACTAAAATGAAATGTCTGAATGTGCAACACAAAGTAAACGTGAAATTTCAGCTGTTTTTAAGGTGCAACGTATCACGCTTTAGCTTCAAACACTGTAAATAGTCATCAAGGTTATTAAGAAGAAGGACAACCTGGGCACCTCGCCTGGCTCACACAACTGACTCTGGTCAATGTCAACATTTTCCATCACTAGCATTTAGCTTAGCATTGTTCTCACTGAAGATGGCAACATGATTTGAGTCTGCAGCCATTTAGTGCAGTTAATACCTCTTTAGCCAGACTGACTCAGATCTTAAGGCTGCACTTATCAGTATTTTTATATTAACAGTGATTCAAACCATGATGTCTAACATGACAGGTGCTGTATATCCACAGAGATATTTACTGTTTGGTTCATGTTGGCACATTTATCAACTCCATTCCAGACCCAACAGGCTCCTTGTACACATAAAGTTCACTAGAACATCTAACAAACACAATTCCAGGTATTTTGTTTCAAACTGCACAGAAAGAAGAAGTGAATATATCATCATGTCAATAGAAACACAACATTAAATGAATACTAATGTGGCTCCATGACTTAAATGTCTAAAACGACAGCCATATCCACCTCATAGGGCTATAATATGTCAATGCAGCTCTAAGGTGGTATATTCCCATTTTTAACTTCTCCATTTAACAGCGCCTCACAGAGTCACATATTTTGGAGTCAAATGATTGTTTCCTAACTACCAAATCACTATTTTCTCTCCTAATATTGTTAAAGCCCCTTTGTGTACAATTTGAATATTTATAAAAAACCTAAAGCACTTTGGAACCCAGAGGTTAATAAAGCAGTGTGTAAGTTTGGACCATTTACCCTTTTTACTAAATACCCCTGGGGCAGTACGCAACAAACAAACCAGAATAAGCCAGTGGCAGGCGGCGATGCTGCTCTACATATTGTACCTTCAGAAATATATTTTCCTGCATGATATTATAACTGGGTACCAAATGTACTGTCTCTCATTTTTCTCAGGTATGGGAAACATGGCGCCTTCTACAGATTCAGGTCCAGCACAGGACGAGTCCTGCCTCTGTTTTATGTCTATGACTCCTACCTGACTCCGCCTGAGTCCTGGGCAGAGCTCCTGACAGCTAAAGGCTCCCACAGCATTAGAGGCACACCTTACGATGGGATTTTTGTCGCCCTCATTGTTGAGGAGCGCCACAAACATGACATCCTAGCTAGTGGCTTTGATGGCATGTATACCTACTTTGCCTCCAATGGATTTTCTTTTGGCTCATCCCACCAGAACTGGAAAGCCATCAAGGCCTTCTGTGATGCGAACAATCTGCTGTTTATCCCCAGTGTCGGCCCAGGATACGTAGACACTGCTGTTCGCCCGTGGAACAACCATAACACCAGGAACCGTGTCAACGGCCGGTACTACGAGACATCCCTGCAGGCAGCTCTGTCCGTCAGGCCAGAAATCGTCACTATTACGTCCTTCAACCAATGGCATGAAGGTACGCAGATAGAGAAGGCAGTACCCAAGAAAACAGTGACACGTTTGTATCTAGACTATCTGCCAAACCAAGCAGCCCACTACTTGGAGATCACGCGCCAATGGGCAGAGAACTTTAACAAGGAGAAGGACAAGTGGCTGATGTGAATATAGCTTCAGTTTCCAGGTAGACATTCTGAGCTTCAACATAAATGACACTAAGTCAGCTCCCACTGTTTAAAGACAGCACTTTTATGTTCATCCACTTATCTGTTTCTCTCCATCTCTAAGCACCTCTAATGAGATTTTCCCCAAATCTTTACTCTTTCCTTACTGTTTTTATTCACTAACAGTTTTTGTACAGTTTAATAATGTCACCGATATGTTGAAGGTAAAAGTCACAATGATGATCAGCTAATCGTCGTTTCCTGATCAGTGTTTGGTTGCTACGTCAAAAAGTGTGGCTGTGTACAGTGACTTTGCTCTGTAGGGTTGCTTTTTTTTCTTATTTTCTTATGATAAAGACTGTTCTTTCCTGTATTTCCTTGATGACAAATTAAAATGTGTGTCTGTTTACCGTTTGAGAATCCGTGTTTGATGTTAAAGCAAAGAGTCTTCAGAGAAAGTTATGAAACAGAAATGTCAGCCACTGACTTGTAGACAGATGAAAGTAGATACAGCCAGTGGTTCTGGATGTGATATTCAGAACCATGTTTCCTTTACAACTAGAAATAGGGATGGACTGATACCTCTTTTTGATTTCCGATACCGATACCGATACTTCAACTTTGAGTATCTGCCGATACCGATACCATCTCTCCTCCTAAACTTCTTTGGAAATACCTTATTTGCATGGATACATTTGTTTAAGATGCTTTATCAAAAGCCTCATACTATTAAAGCACAGACTTTGCTTTTCTAAGAAAGGAAACAAGCCAAAATCATGTCTCACAGTGAAACTGTAGCTGCTTTATCTGAGCTGCAGTCAGACTACAGTGTGCACTCAGAGCCATTCACATATTTAGAACAGATCACAATGACACAGCAACATTAAGCTGCAATTTAAAGGTTCAATTACCAAAACTTGCTATTAAATAATAGAACCACTAATAGCCGCTCTGGGCTCTGCGCATGAGCAGAAGTAAATGAGACCGGAAACGTAGTGACGTGCTGCGGGATGGGATCCAATAGGAAGGTTGTGTGTGCAGAGCCGGAGAGCCCCGTACAGGCTGCTGGTAGAGGGCTGCACGGAGAGGCTGGACTCTCTGCTACGGCCGGAGAAGTGCACGGCTTCTAGTTCAGGGTGCGCGACGTAGTTTTACAGGGTGATTTCACTCAAAATATACTTCCAATTTAAAATAAATATATTTAAGAAGAGTATTTTTAAGCCCTTACCGCTCCCACGGCCCGCCGGAGGGACGTGACCACTTTCCAAACACATTACAGCCAGATGTGCGCATGCTCCACAATCACGTTTCCCGACAACATACACATCAAA